TTTTTTGACAATAGCTTTATTTGGATGATGAGCGTAGAAAATCTGGAGAACTATGATTTACTTCTCATATTTATGTTATGGACTTTATTCCATATGTTTGTTCAACAATAAACCTGAGATGTGACCTAGAGTGGAGTTTTTATCTTTAATTTTCAATTGATCTAAAATGATTGACTGGATCTATTTAATGATGTTCAAGATGTCTTAAAGAAGCAAATTCATAGATTAGGACTGTTTCTTCCACCTGGTTTGTTCAAACAAGGACGAAAGACCTTTTGGCACAAAGCAAAGTTTAACAGCTACAGTTCCTCTGAGATGGAGTAAACATATTACAATGGATTTGACAAAGGAGCAATGCGCTTGGAGGCACAGATGTGCAGGAAGAGTTTTGTCATTATTTATCTTCATCAACTCATGACTGTATTGCTTTTCTGATTGTAGTCCTACATAATTTGAAAGATACACCTGTTGCATGCAAATGTTAAAGGTGGGGCCTACTTTTCTGCACCACTCTCACTTATGAAGTACTTGCCCAGGTAAGTTTTTTGCCAGGTGTTTTATTGTTGGGTTGGTCTGGTTCTTTTTTCTTTTGCATTTTAACCACATGGTATCTGAGTATTTCTCTTTTGAGTATTTCTCTTTTAAGTATTTCTCTTATTAAAAGAATACTCTTAATAGTTGCTGGTACTAAATAACTGTTACAATTTTGTGCCACCGATTTTTAAAAAAAACTGTCCTAAAATGTTTTTGAAGTCATGGCATTACTATATTACAAAAGCCTTATTTTCTTATTTTTCTCTCAATATCAGATAAGAAACTAAGCAAGAAGACAAGTTCAGGCTGAGAACAAAATATCTTACTTCCCAAGTTGGTCTGTGCTGTTCTCAGAGACTCCAACCACTAGAAATAAAAACTTTCTACTAATCACCCCAAGGAAGGGCTCTAAACTAACTCAAAGTTCAACAGGAACTTAGAATTGTTTGTTCTTGTTTCATATTTTTATTACTTTGACCTAAAAAATTTTTAGGGTTCAAAAGTTTTATTTCTTTTAAAACAAACATTTCATCATTCCTCAATCAGTAAGACATCGAAGTA